TATGTAAATGTAACGTTCTTGGATGGAGGAGGGATACCAAAGAAACCCACTCTAGTCGCATTTAACTTTTAAAAGGAAAACCACACAAAAAACGAGAAGCTTGTTACAAGGAAATTAAAAGGAACTGGCACAAGAGTGAAATACCTGCAAACTTCATGGGAACTTTTAAAAAAATACTATAACTAAAGGTATACTCCAAATAAATAAAAAAACCAATAACAGGACCAAAAAAAATGCCACCATGGCTAAACAGCAGAGTAAAAATTGCAGTTAGAGACAAAAAGGCATCCTTTAAAAACTGGAAGTCAAATCTTACCGAGGAAAATAAAAAATAGCCTGAACTGTGGCAAATTATTTGTAAAAGTATAATTAGGGAGGCCAAAAAAGAATTCATAGAGCAATTAGTGAAAGTCCCAAAAACTAACAGCAAACAAATTTCAGTACAAAAGAATTGGGTGATTAAAGGGAATGTCGACACTACAGGATAAGGTTGAACTGAGATATGCAACGTCAGCTACTTCAATTGCGTAGCTGAAGTTGAAGTAACGTAACAACTTTTGGCACTGTCCACACTACAGGAAGTTGAAGGGAGAACACTATCCCTTCAACTTCCATTACTCCTCATGGAAGCAGGACTACCGGCATTGACCAGACTGCCCCTCTCAGTTCCAATTAGCGTGTCTTCACTACCCACTAATTTGAACCCTGGAAGATCGACAGTGGCAGCTTCAATCTTCTCTGTAGTGTAGATATACACAAAGCGTTAAAGGAGCACCCAAGGGAAAGACAATTGCAGAGAAGCTAAACTAAGTATTTGCATCAGTCTTCACTGCAGAGGAAGTGAAGGGGATTCTCACACCTGAGCCATTTTATTTTTTTAGGTGAGAAAGCTGAGGAACTGTCCCAGAGTGAGCTAGAGAGAAAATTTTGGACCAACTGATAAATTAAATAGTAATGTCACTACAGGTTGGACCTCCCACCCTGCCAGATCAGGGGAGTTCTCCTGCCACCGGCCGTCGAACCCATCACCCAGCAGGCAACTCTGCCTCGCTCTCTCTCTCCCCCCCCTCGCCCCCGGCTGGGCTGCTTGCTCAGCTATTTGGCTCCCTAGGCGGCAGAGGCTCCAGCTCCTGCTGCGGGGCTCTTGTCCCCTGCAGCTGGGAGCAGCCTCAGGGCTGGAGCTCTGGCCCCACGCAGCCGGGGGAAGCCACAGGGCTCTGGCACACTCCCACGCTACCATGGGGCTCCAGCCTGAGCGCTGCGCTGCCCTCAGCTGGGCTTCTAATGCCCCACCTGGCTGGCCCTCCTGCTCTTACGCTCCAGAGCTCTCTGGTCCTGCCTGACCACAGATGTTGCCAGACCAGTGTGCGCCAGATTTTGAAGGTGCAACTTGTAGTACCCAATGGTATTCACCTAAGAGCTCTGAAGAAGCTCAAATATGAAACTGCAGAATTACTAACTGTGATTTGTAGCCTATCACTTAAATTAATCTCAGGACCAGGTGACTGAAGGACAGCTAATGAAGACCGATTTTTAAGAAAGGCTCTAGAGGTGATTCAGTTACAGGCTGGTAAGTCTTCAGTACAAGGCAAACTGCTTGAAATAATGGTAAAAAACAGAATTACTGGATACACAGATGAACACAATTATGTTGGAAAAGAATCAACATGGCTTTTGTAAAGGGAAATCATGCTTCAATGATTTATTATAATCCTTTGAGGGTATGAATAAGCATGTGGACAAAGGGGATCCAGTGGCCATAGTGTACCTGAAATTCAGAAGGCCTTTGACAAAGTCCCTCACCAAAGGCTCTTAAGTGAAATAAGCACTCCTGGGATACGAGGGAAGATCCTCTCATGTACCAAACTGGTTAAAAGAGCTGGCTACTTGAGAGCCCAGCTGTCAGTGAAATGCAACAGTTACAATGAGGAGTTTCATCTGGAGCTGTTTCCATTTAAATAGATGGGAGCTGGTGGCAGGGAGTTTCTGGGAAGGTTTCACCACTTCAGAAACTGATCCCATCACAAGCTCTCTCTTGAGCTAAGTACCCAGGGGCCTTTAGTCACAGCTGATCCTTACATCCCTGAACATGCGCTGCTCCCGCTCCTCTTCCTCTCGCTGTGCCTGGGCTGAGGTGTTCTCAATGGTGTATCTCCACAGCTCTCGCTTCTCTCCATCCAGCTCAATCCTGTACATCCCCAAAGTACCATGGGCAAAATTCAGACCAGGACTGGCAATGCCTGCTACGGTGGCGGCCCCAGGAGCAGCCATGCCCAACCACTCACACTCCTGGGGGTTTGCCCAGCAGCAAGACATCCTTAAGGAAACCCCCAGGATGTGGGGAGCAGGCAGTCACCCCTACGTGCCCAAAGGGGTGAGTTCCTGTTCCAGAGCCTCAGCAGATCCCATGACGTATCAGAGAGGAGCAATGCTCCCCCATTCCCATAGTATACAAGGTAATCCCAGGAAGTGAGTTTAGCCCCTCCGCACCCATCCCAGCTGCAGTACTAGCCCCACCCTGCCAGGCTGACTAGGAATGTGAAGGTTCAACTAGTTAATTGGTGGGGATGGAGCAGCTCCCCGTTTGCTGCGGGCAGGACTTCAGCTGTGGGAGCCAGGTGCAGACAGGGGCTGTGCTGGCATCCTGGACAATGCAGCCCTGTATCAGGGGGCCGCATGCAGGAACTGCTCTGGCCAGGCTAGAGTAGCCCCTACCTGCGACAGGGGGTGGAAGGCATTTCAGCCCCCTCTAATCGGCTAACTAGTTAAACAGTGGCTCACCTGTAAGCACCTTTAGTGCCTGTGAAATCGGGCTTCACTATGATCACTCCATTGCCATCCACCTTGATTGTGCAAAGAACGCGTTCATACTCCCTGTGGCCGAGCCTGAGGGGAAAGACCATGAAACAGACACCCAGTCTGAACAAAGCTCATGGACACCAGCTGCCATTGGAATCATGGTCCAGCCATACCCCACCAATCAGAGTAAGGGGGAAGGGAGAGGTACAATGCTTCTCACTCAGAGAAGGGATAGGAGGCAACAGCTGGTGGAATTGCTGATGATCTTTCAATTTCCCTCATGGGACTAGTGCCAGAGTTTCATAAGGGAGGGGGAAAGCAGGGGTTTCCCCTCTAGGAGACCAGGTTACTCCAAGTCTTTACTCACTTCCCATATGGTCCCAAGTCTCCCATGATGTACATGGTCTGAACAGGGGTGTTGATGACGTGGTTATTCTTAATAAATTCTTCTGAGGGCTCCCAGGTGATGACTCGGGACTTCAGAACACCTCCTTCCCTGCCAAGGAATCCACAGAACAGTATTATCCATGCTCTCCAAGCTGCCAGGCACAAAACCCCACAGTGCCAGAGCATACAACCCCAATGTAAACATTCACATGCTAGGGCATCAGAGCAAGAAGCTACAATTCCAAGCTCTGGATGAATCACCAGCTTCCCCAGGTAGGGTACTCAAACCCCCAGGCACCTGTATTGGGAATCTTGCAGTAGTGAGTTCTGAGATAGGCCAAGATGAGCTCTGTGCTCTTCTTTGCACTCACATTGCTCTGTGGTCCTGCCTTCTTCTCCTTAAATTGGCCATCCTCTCTGCAAGGAACGATGGCACTTCCTGCTCTGAGCTGGTCACTTTCTGACAGTGCTAGAAGAGAGGGCGGGAGGTGGAACTATTACAGTTATGAACAGAGCCTTTCCTTCCCCTTGGAAAGGCTGGGGCATTCACACCATGAGATTTCCCTTTCTCCCTCTCTAGCGTCAGGCAGACCAAACTTCAGTCCTTAGGAGGAACAGGCACGTAAGTGCACGTGCACGCACACACGCACACCCTTCTCACTGATCCACAGAGGGTCTTGGAGCAGGACAGCACAGTTCCTGAGCTTAGCTGTGAAAGTGCTACCAATTCATCCTCCATTCTTTGAACAGGGCACATCTGAGATTCTCTGTGTTATGGAAGTTGCCATTATAACAGGGAACAAACAGTGGAGTTTAAATTCTTGGCATCTCCCGCCAGATTTTCAATATGCATCTTTTGGAAAGGTCCAGAACTCAGCCTACTATTGGGGCAGTGACTGGAGGTGTTTTTCATGAAAATATCCAGGTGGCCTGTTAGGGCCCTCAGCTTCAGTTCCTTAGGCCATCCCTGAGAAACATGTCCCTCTTTCCTACAGGCTGTAGGCCTGGCCATGTGAAGATACAACACTGCACAGATGGCAACTGCTTAAACACAACTAAGAATAAGTACCTCCTCCAGATTGGTGAATCGGTCATGGTCTGTGTAGGTGAAGATGCGGTGGTTCTTCCGGCCCCCTGACCTCTCTAACTTCAGGATTTCCTGGTGGTACTGCCGGTCCAAGGGGGTCTGACAGGCTGACTCATGTTGATATAGATCCACCTCAAACTGAACAGCACAGAGAAAGCACAAAGGCTGCTTTGACATAAAATGTGTCCAGAGATTAGAGAGCGCCAGGGCCTTTACACTGGGATTCTTAAAGAATCCTCAGATAGCGAAATTCCTTTTAAACACCACAGCCTCCAGGTTACTTCCAACCTAGTCCAGAGATTCATAGAGCCCAAAGCAAGAAAGGGCCACTGCGATCAGCTGGCTTGATCATCTGCACAACACAGGCCAGAGATCACTCCCACGTAATTCCTGTCTGCACTAGAGAATCCCCAGTCAGTCCCCCAGGGGCTGGGTCACTTTTGTGCTGCCTTCACTCCAGGGGTACCCCAAACTCACTTGCCCCAAAACGGCTCGAAAAGAGAAAACCAAGCGGCAGTCTCTGGTAGCTGACCCCTCAGTCAGAACATGCAGATACACACAGACAGACCTTCCAGGACACAAGAATCAAATCATCACCTTAAAAAATGATTTTTATTACAAAACAAAAGATAAACTGGAGAAAGCAGACTTGGTTGTTAGATGTTACAGAGCAACTAAGGAAAACAAATTAAAAATCAGAGAAAATCTCTAGGAACAATGCTTAGATGGTAATTGAGGAGGGAGGCAGAGAATCACACAGAGCGTTCAAATCAAACCACAAAATAAAGAAAGATTACCCTGAAAGCAACTGCGTTCACTTTTCCTTTTTACTTGCTTCCAATCTCCTCTTTGTTCAGTCCGCTCCCATGCCGCGAATTCCTTGGGGGCATGGTAGTCCTGCTTGGGTTTCAATCATTCTGTGTGTCTCAACTCCTGGTTTATCTCTCCCACACAAATAAAGCAGGCAAGAAACCTATATCCAATCCATATTTCAACCCTCTATCTCTATTGCTTCTCCTTGCCCTCTCGCCAACACCTTTGCTAATTACTTGAGTTAACCCCTTAGTGCCTGGGTGCTGGTCAGCACTCCTCCTGGCTATTACAGACCTCAATTTATTTTGTATAAGGGCTGACTTAAGAGTCTATAAATACCTTAATGAAGAACAGACAGTACTAAGCTCTTCGGCCCAGCAGAGAAAGATAGAATATAATTCATTGGCTGTAAGTTGAAGCTAGACAAATTCAGAATAGAAATAAGGTATTCATATTTACCAGTGAGGGTCATTAACTGCTGGCACAAGTCACCAAGCACCCTCAAGGATTCTCCATTACTAACAATTTTCAGACCAGAAATGGATATTTATCTGAAAGCTCTCTTGGAGGAATTAGTGTGGGGTAGGTCTCTGGCCTATGTTACATAGGAGGTCAGACTACATGGTCACAATGGTCCGTTCTGGTCTTGGAATCTATGAATCTATTTAAATCCAGGACCCTGCTCTCTAAAAAGGAGGTGAATCTCCTGGGAGGAGTAAGTTATCGATCCCTAGAAAGCACTTTCGTGTTCAGGGTAATCTATCTTTATTTTGTGGTTTGATTTGAACGCTCTATGCCTCCCTCCTCAATTACCATCTTACACACTGCACCATAACAATTCGAACTCAGGAACCAATCCTTGCAACAAACCTCAGTGCCAACTCTGCCCACATATATACACCAGCAACACCATCACAGGACCTAACCAGATCAGCCATACTGTCACTGGTACATTCTCCTGCACATCTACCAACGTAATATATGCCATCATGTGCAACAATGCCCCACTGCTATATACATCGGCCAAACGGGACAGTCCCTACGTAAAAGAATCAATGGACACAAATCAGATATTAGGAATGGCAACATACAAAAACCTGTAGGGGAACACTTCAATCTTCCTGGACACACAATTGCAGATCTAAAGGTAGCCATCCTGCAGCAAAAAAAAACTTCAGGACCAGACTTCAAAGAGAAACTGCTGAGCTACAGTTCATCTTCAAGTTTGACACAATCAACTCTGGATTAAACAAAGACTGTGAATGGCTTGCTAACTACAAAAGCAGCTTCTGCTCTCTTGGAATTCACACCTCCAGATCAGCTGCTAGAAGTGGGCCTCATCCTCGATTGGATCCACCTCGTCATCTCCAGCCTGATCCTGGCCTGCATATTTATTCCTGCCTCTGGAAATGTCCACTACATGCATCTGACGAAGTGGGTCTTTGCCCACGAAAGCTTATGCTCCTACACTTCAGTTAGTCTATAAGGTGCCACAGGACTCCTCGTCATCTAAGCATCGCTCCTAGAGATTTTCTCTGTTTTTTAATTTGGTTTCCTTAGTTGCTCTGTAACATCTAAAAACCAAGTCTGCTTTCTCCAGTTTATCTTTTGTTTTGTAATAAAAATCATTTTTTAAGGTGATGATTTGATTCTGGTGTCCTGGAAGGTCTGTCTGTGTGTATCTGCATGCTCTGACTGAGGGGTCAGCTACCAGAGACTGCCGCTTGGTTTTCAAGTTGTTTTGGGGCAAACGAGCTTGGGGTACCCCGTAGGTGATTTCAAGTGTTCACCCCTGATTTTTAGGGATGGTGGAAGCATTTCCCAAAAATCTGTGTATTATGATTCGGGGGAGGGGAGGGGAAGGGGAGGGTAAGAAAGAGCTTTTTGTAACCAGTGCCTATAGAGGAAGGCTACGTCTACACTGGCAAGATTTTGTGCAAATACTCTTTAACGCAAGAGTATGCAAATACTCTTTAATGCAAATACTCTTTTTGCATTAGAGTATTTGCGCAAGAGAGGGTCTACACTGGCATGTGCCTTTGCGCAAAAGATGTGCTTTTGCACAAGAGCATCCACGCCAGTGTAGATGCTCTCTTGCGCAAGAAAGCTCTGATGGCCATTTTAACCATCAGGCTTTCTTGCGCAAGAAATTCATGTTGCCTCTCTACACTGGCCTTTTGTGCAAGAACAGTTGCTCAAGAGGGCTTATTCCTGAGCGGGAGCATCATAGTTCTTGCGCAAGAAGCCCTGATTTCACACATTAGAACGTCAGTGTTCTTGCGCAAGAACTCCCCACCAGTGTAGACAGGCAGCTAGTTATTGCGCAAAAGCGTGCGCAAAGTCATGCCAATGTAAACACAGCTGAAGGGTTTTCGAGGGCCTTCACCTTCTGTACTCGGAGTGCCAGAGTGGGGAACAGCTCTGACAAGGTCCTTGAATCAATATAAGGAATGCTTTCTAATAATTTTTGTGGCTCTTCTCTGATCATCTCCAATTTACTTCCATTCTTCTTGAATTGTGGACACCAAAACTGGACATACTACACCAGGCACAGTTGCAATTGTGTCAAATACAAAGATAGAAGAACCTCTCTGCTCCTACTCAAGATTCCCATTTATGCATCCAAGGATTGCAGTATGTCACAACACTGCACTGGGAGTTTAAATTCAGCTGATAATCCATCCCACCCCTACATCTTTTTCAGAGTCCTTGCTTCCCAAGATAAAGTCCCTACGGCCTAGAGTCTCTGTCCCTAGATATGTACATTTATGTATAGAAAGTTTCAGGGGGTAGCAGTGTTAGTATTTCACTTTAAAAACAAGTAGCCCTGTGGCACCATAGAGATTAATATATATATATTCATGAGCTTTCGTGGGCAAAACCCACTTCTTTAGATGAGGGGAAGCTGGAGTGGAAATAACCACTATTTTAAGTGTGTAAAGCTACGCACATGCATAACTGTTTGTGGGATTAGGATTTAAAATTGATGTGGTTGTAACTGTGGGACCAGACTGCAGTTCCTGGAGCTGGATCCTGGACCGTTAGTAACCAGAATGCTGTTTCTCTCTTGTGATTGAGAGTCACTTCCACAGCTTTTCATAGAATCATAGAATACTAGGACTAGAAGGGACCTTGAGAGGTCATCAAGTTCAGTCCCCTGCCCTCATGGCAGGACCCAGTACTGACTAGACCATCCCTAGTAGACATTTTCTAACCTACTCTTAAATATCCCCAGAGATGGAGATTCCACAACCTCCCTATGTAATTTATTCGTGTTTAACCGCCCTGACAGTAACTTTTTCCTAATGTCCAACCTAAACCTCCCTTGCTGCAGGTTAAGCTCATTGCCTCTTGTTCTATCCTCAGAGACCAGGAAGAACAAGTTTTCTCCCTCCTCCTTGTGACACCCTTTTAGATACCTGAAAACCACTATCATGTCCCCTCTTAATCTTTTCTTTTCCAAACTAAACAAGCCCAATTCTTTCAGTCTTCCTTCACAGCTCATGTGCCCTAGACCTTTAATCATTCTTGTTTAATGAGTGCCCTCCACTCATCCCCTACAGACATGGACAAGACGGCACAGGCAAGCAGTTGGGATAATTCTAAATCAGAAACATGTTCCATTTTCTCCTAGTGGAGTTTAGAGGCTGCAGTGGCCATGAGAGGCTAGAGAATATAAACCATATTGAACTGCAGCAGCACGTATATCTCTAACTGTGAGCCAGAGGAACAGGCCCTCCATTCTGCTCTGGGACCTGGAGATGAAGCCAAGTCCCCTTGCACTGGACACACACTATCCACTATACTATTCTGAGTACTATCTGCCACTTGAGGGGTCACTTCCAGCCTTCTGCTTATTCACCTGGCTGAAGAGTTTTTCTTGCCAGCCAATTACGGCCTCCTCTTCCTCATCGTCGGCACGATAGCCACCTGAAAGACAATAGGGGGCTGGTCACTTCTTCACACATGTGCTTCTTCCCTCCACGTTGAACAGGATTGGTTCCAGGATAGACCCTTGAGGGACCCCACTAGTTACCTCTCTCCACTCTGAAAACTTATCATTTATTCCTACTCTTTGTTTCCTGTCTTTTATCCAGTTATCAATCCATGAAAGGACCTTTCCTCTTATCCCATGACAACTTACTTTACTTAAGAGCCTTTGGTGAGGGAAATTGTCAAAGGCTTTCTGGAAATAGCCACTGTTAGTTCATGGAGGCTAACGTTATCTGTGGCTATAAACCAAGATGATCAGGAATGCACCCTTATGCTCTGGATATCACTAGCTTCTGATTCCCAAAAGCTGGGAATAAGCGACAGGAAGAAACACTTAATGATTGCCTCTTCAGTTCATTCCTTCTGGGGCCCCTGGTACCAGCTGCTGTTAGAAGACAAGATATGGGGATAGATGGATCATTGATATGATGCAATGTTACTATTTTTATGTTCTTCTGCTCACAGCCAGTCTCACTTTTCAGCAAGAGAAAAGACAATGAGCCCTGTGAGTGGAATAGCCCTGGAAGCCTGTTTTGCAACTAGGTATAATGCTCAATTGGCAGTACAAATGCCTGAGGTCAAAGAGGGTGGAATTTCCTTCTTCAACATGATGCACCAAGAAAAAGAAACAGGAATTGGAAGGTGCTTCTTCACTAAGAAAAAGATGTGTTCTCATTGCAAATTAACTAACAGTTGATAACTAAAAAGATCAAATCCCAAAGTCTGCGGTCAGCACATGTATTAGCAAATTGAGCCAAGTATTTTACAAGACTTTACTCTGAGGTGCTAACATGTAAAAACTACCAAGTGGCTTGTCCTCACTAGGATTTGACCTTGTAGTTGCTAACGAGATCAAGGCACACCTTTTCCCTAGCAAAGATGCACCCACTCTGACACCTTACCCTACCACAGGTATTAAATCCCTGTCTCACCAGTTGCTCCCTGGCTGGGAAAAGGAGGCACTTCCTGCCACTATCAGAATATCCAGGGGGAGAAACGGGGCACCTGTTCCATCCACAGGTAGGACAGGTCTTCATATGAGGTAGCCCAGAGAAGCTGAGGCTGTCCTGTACTCTGTGGGGTTGAAAGGTGTAAAAATGCCATCTGCTCTGCCACTGAGATTGCTGCAAGTCCGGCATCTCTCCCTGCCTGCGACCTGTGCAGTGGGGCTCCGGCCAAGTGGCAGAAGCCATTGTGAGGCCTTGCACAGAACCAGCCATGAACCACCTACTTGTTGCTGGATGGGAGCTGAAGGTGGCCAGGCTGATGAGATCCTTCCCCTGCTGCTGGCTAGAGGGCTGCTGGAGCTGCTGCAGGAGCAGGCTGGTGGAAGTGACATGCTGGACATGCACCCTGGGCAGGGAGGAGCACCAGGCTGGAGTCAGCAGGCTGCCCAGGGCAGGGGAGGGAGAAAGGCGAAAGCGGCCGCTTGCCTGGGCCCTCCCCAGGCACCCCAGCCTGCTGTGCCACAACAACACCCCAAAGGGGCCCAGGTACCCTCCATGGGACCCGACACCCCACACCCCTCCCACGACACCCTGCCCCTCCTACACCCC